CTGACTTTAACACATGTCTTTCATCTCCAAATGAGCTAGTTGTTGTATTCAACACATGAATTGGTTCATGTATCCTACACTTGATATTTTCAGCATTTGGTTTAATCTTCCAACAATGCCTCCCCTAAACCAAATTTGCTATTCATTCCCATCTTTACAAGGTTTGTGTTGAAAAATGTTTCCACCAAGAGGCTTTTTGTTTGGTGACAGATTAACCAACTACCATGTGCCATTCTTTTCAATGGCTTTGATTTCTTCATCCATTACTTTCTTCCACTTTTCTTCTTTGCAATTCAAAAGGGATTGGATCTCCCCCACTGAGCCTTGTAGCCGTTACATACATCAAATTTCCAATGCTTTCAAATGACAAAATCTTCTTTGCAATCTCATTTGATGTGCAAGCTTTGTATCTTGTCTTCTTCATGCTTCTAGTATTTTTCTTCACCTGATTGACCTTGAAACTAATTTCCAATGTTGTTGTTGAGATTCACTTCAAAATTCCCACACTTCCTGAATTTACTTTTGATTTGCTCATTTTAATGAAATTATGCTTCAATGTACACCCATGTCGTATCACTTGAGAAATATTCTATGCAAACGTTCTTTCATTTTTCTTTAATAATAACTAGGGGTACAACTTAGGTTGGAAAACCCAAACCCAACCCAAGCCTAACCCGGTTTTTCACAGACTTGGGCAATCATTTTTACAATTAGGGTTGGACTTAGGTTGAAGTGCTAGTAACCCGAACCAACCTGAACCCAAATTATAATATTAATTTTGTATATATTTTTACTTTAAAATACATTATATATAATATTTAAATTATGATTACCATTTTTCTTTTCACCTTCCTTTGTTAAATCTTAACTTATTGTATGTTAACATTTAGGATAATCAATTTTCTAAGAATTTGTTTGTAATTTATTAAAAATCTACAAAAAGTCTTTGAACTTTTTCTTGTTTAAGAGTAATTTAATCTCCAACTAATGCAAGATCGTATTAAATTTTCGGTGTGAAGATTAGCTATATGAGTAATCCGAATTAACCCAAAGTTTTAACAAGAAATCTAAGTCCGTAGAGTAATGGGTTGGGCTCGATTTAAGTAGTTAGGGTTGAGGATAGGGTTAGGGTTAGGCTTGGGTTTAGCATTTCATATGGTGGGTTAGGCTCAAGTTATACCTCAACCCCGCCCAACCGTGTAAGTTGCAACCTTGACAATAACATCATCCAATTAAACATATTATGTTTCTTCTAAAATTGACTATATTGCTCCATTCGAAATTTTAGACCATTTGTTTTCTTCACCAAGATTTGATATTCCAATTTCTTCACCAAATTCTCGAAATTCAATTCCTATAACTTGTCTTTTTGTGATCACTTCACTATCTTCACTATCTATTTCTTATTTTTCTGCTTCAATTTAATATTTTTCAAATTCTACCTCTTTGACTACGTCGCCATTAGTATTTACTAATTCTTCTTCTATCTCATTTTTATCACTAAAAAATTTTCCTTCAACAATATCAACTCCTTCTCTTATTTGTTTCTTCAACTCCATTTGACAATTTTCTCGCCTTCCATCTTTTCACTTTTCTTATCAAATTTTCCTTTCTCAAATTCTTTTGTTTCAATTTCATCAAAATTTTCTTCATTTTCTTCTTCCCAAATAATTTTTTTCAAAAAATTCATTTTCATCATAATTTGGAACCCAATATTCAATGGATAGTGTATGGACTTTATAATTGGATGGAGACATAAATTCAAGCTTTTGCCATACCTGATTTGGAATTTTCAACATGCTTCCAAACTTCTTCATGAATTGCATTCTCGAATGTCTTGAGTACGTGTTCTTCTTTCTTTTTCTAAACTTTGTTTCCTGACAGCTTTTTGGATTTGTAATGACACCAAACCATAAATCACATGCTTTAAGATAAACAGACACTATATTGCTCCAGTACGCATAATTCGAGAGAATCAAATTTTTATTTTTTATTTTTATTTTTTTGTGCAACAATTGCTAGCTAACAATCCGTTCTTTGAATTTTCTTACGACACATACTCCTTGAATCTTCTTTGAATTAGTGTTTCAACGAGCCATATACTATTTTGCTTCAGGCTCCAAGATCATTCCCCCTCTGAGACTTTCGGACTCATACAATCATTGAGGCTCTGATACTGATTTGTAGGAGGCACTCAATTGAAGAAGGAAAAAACACACAATTTATAATAACTCTAAAATTCTGATATATATTTCTTCTCACTTCTTACTTACAAAATAATTCAAGAACATATATATATATATAAGCACCAATACATAATTCTAGAAAGACATAAAATACAAGACAATAAATAAAACACTAACTTTAACACAAGTCTTTCATCTCCAAATGAATTGGTTCGTGCATATATTCCACAGTTGAATTGGTTCACGTATCCTACACTTGATATTTTCAACATTTGGTTTAATCTTACAACATATTCCAAACATTATGTGCTTCCATCCACACTTGATTGACACCAAAATTATCCAACACAAAACTAAGTTCCTGATAGACGTTGGGTAAGTGAAATATATAAAAATCCAAACTTGTATATAAATTTGAAAAAGTAGGATTTTTGGTTTGCGATTTGATGCACACAAACCAAAGATGAGTCTCCTATGAAATGGGTTCCAAGGTAGTGAAGAAAACCTCTTAAAATATTTTGAACAGATAGACGGAGAGATCAAGAAATTTAAGCAGTTTGAATGTTTGTGTACCATTTTGTATGGGTGGACCCATACTTTCAATAGTCACACAGTTTGAGGAATGAAAAGCATCACTTTGTTTTTAAAAACAAAAAATAAAATACAGAATAGTTTAATAACAGAGAAAATATATTTCTTATAAGCCGTGTTTGAATTTGACAGTGTGGCTTCTTAAAATAAAAGAACACAACTTGCAAATAAAATATATAAAATATTAATTTTAATATAGAAGAGGTGCTTGTAATTCTCCTTTTTTTTTTTTTTTTATATCCCTTTCCTCTCAAAGAGGTATCACTTTTTTTTTTTTTATTATGATTATTATTATTATTATTATTTTGAATGGTTCAAAGAGGTATTATTAGTAGTGAAAAAAGGAAAATTTTCAACCATTTTATTTGTTGAAGTGAAATTCAGCACAGCTCAGGACGACACCGTTTTCTACAAAGAAAATAGACTAACCTTGATGGACATCGATGTGGTGCCTGCCAAGAACTCTCCGACGATCAAGTCAATCACCGGCGCTCTGAAATAATGGCAGTAATTTAATGTATTCAATTGTCTCATACCTGTTCAGTAGTCAGACTTCATATTTACATATGGCGATTCTCCCAGTATGTTGCAATCTATTGGGGATTCGAAGATATTCTCCCGTACTTGAATTTGAACATTAGCGTTATCGTTAATTTAATTTCAAACTTTGGGATATTTTATCTTTTTCTCTCTTTGACTAATATCCATCTTAAATTGGCTCATTAGTTGCCCCTATTCTCATTATTCGCTTGTTGAGTATCGAGAATGTTAAAAGTTATTTTTTCCTTCTTTTGGAAGGGAGCTCTTTTTATTTATTTATCGACCGAGCATATTGTAGATTGTCACGTAATTAAGTGCTCATAACAACATGTGTTGGCCACTTAAATAAAAGAGATTTTACGAGCTCCACTTAGCTCATTCTTTAATAATGGATAGATTTTACGAGCTTCATTCAGCTTGCTCTTCAATAATGGATAGATTTTTTGAGCTTGAATCAGCTTGCCCTTTAATAAGGGATATATTTTACGAGTTTCACTAAACTCCCCCTTTAATAAGGGAATAAATTTTATGGCTCAATCATTTTGAAGAGAGCGTTGAACTTAAAACTTCCAATACAACAATATATATATATGTATATATGTGTGTGTGTATATATATATATATATATATATATTGAAAGTTACGAGAGTATCAAACATTTATTTTAGACACGGGAGTTAGAATTTTTTTTTAGATTGTCGTTGTAGCTCATCTCCCCAAATATATAGTTATATATATATATTGAAAGGATAATGATTTGTAATTTCAACCAGGTGGGACATGGCCAAAATAATAGACTATACAAAGAAATCATTACTCTTCATTTTGCATTAGTTTCCTTATATATCTTATAATAGAATATGTGAATCATATCACCGAACATTTTTTTTAGCACATTTCGATGAATTAGCCATGTCATGCACAAATAAATGAGCAAAAACGACTCAATGTTCATGATTTTGACATTTAACATGCAATTTCACACTAACTTTATCGGCATGCAATATTGATTTTGGAAGAGCGGGCTTGATCTTCAAGCCTTGGAGATGGATCAATGCTCCCCTTCTTATTTATTATAAATAAATAAATAAATAAATATATATATATATATATATATATATATATATATATATATATATATATATATATATAAGAGTTTTTGAGTGAACCAAGTTACATGGCCTACTACCGTGATGTATGGAGACGGTATAAGTAATTTTTGTATGCTATAATTATGATCCCACGTAAACCCGAGACACGTCCTCTCATGGTCTAAGCAAATATTTTGATATATATCAAGTACTATCACAATAATAAGCAACTTAACTTGCCATTTGTCCTACATATATAATTTTTTGTGAATAAATATACATGATTTGGATGATCTTCAATAATTTCCCTTGTAAGTCAAAATATGCTAGTTGTATAATGGCACATATATAGCATAACATATCTTGAGGCTTCGAATAAGAGTTTTTTGACTTATGTCCCTGGCCTTTAATTGTTCGAGCTGTTCGAGCTATGCCCCTTTGAGTAATGTGTTGCTTGGAGTTGTGTTCTCGGATTACGTTCTCGATTTGACGTTATGATAGGAAAAAATAAGTGAATTTGAATACATTTTGCATCCATTTGCATATCTGCTGATTCTCACAGACAACGCCAGCTGTTAAAGCGACATTCAACATGGATTGGGACGACTCCATTTCCCTACAAAGAAAAGAGATGAACCTTGACAAGTACTGGTTTGGTGTCTGCCATGAGCTCTCTAACAATAAAGTCAGTCACCGAAGTTCTAAAATAGTGGCAGTAATTTAATGTATTCAATTGTCTCGTACTTATTTAGTAGTCAGGTTTCGTAGTTATATATGATGATTCTCCAATCTGTTGCAATTTGTCAAGAATTTGAAAATATTCTCCGTATTTTGAATTCGAACTTCAATGTTATCTTTAATTTAATTTCAAACTTTTAGATATCTTATCTTATGTTGACTAATGGCCCATCTTAAATTGGCTCATATATTTTATATTTTTATTAAAAAGTATTAAAATCCAAAAGGTAAAACCTTTGGCAATCCCAAAACATTTATAAGATATATCAATTTGAAAACATGAAAGTTATATAATATATATATATTTAAGGAAAATGATAGTTAAACCGAAACAATATACCGATTTGTCTGACCGAATTTATGTGTCTGCTTGGATGGATATCTATGTCAGAAATCAAAATAGTAACTTTAAATTCTCTCTCTTCCGTTTTTCTCTTTCCTTTCTTATCTTCCCCGCAAAGTAGTAAATCAGTTTTTCTCTCTCCTTTCTCATCTTTACCACTACTAATCTCTTTTGTATCAGGCGATCTAATCCATTATATGAAAGATATAATATCCATAAATATGGTATATGAAGTTATAATAAAAAATTGCATACGGCAAACTGATATTTTTCTTGATTGATGAAGATAATCATTTAAAATTTAATTTTAAAGAAAAATTGCACGGATGAGAGATAATGTTATGGTCACTTTTTAGTGGTGGTTTTGGATTTCGAATAGAATAAGAGAAATAATCAATCTTCTCCTTAATCACAAGTTGTTGTTGAATCAACCTCCGCTTCCATCAAAAAAAATAAAATAAAATAAAAAATAAAAAAATAAAATAAAATCAGGAAAAAAAAGGTTTTTCTAATGAAAAAAAGAGATTTAATTTGTGATATTTTTGAAATTAAATTTGCATGGTTATAAGCAGTGGTGTTTTAGTAATTATTTTAATTAAGTGTTTTAAAGTGCATATAAATATTATAAATTCTATCCACTTTTAGTTGGAGTATAGATAGCAGATATACGAATATATGTTTTGGGGAAATAGACTTTTATTGAAGAACACTGTACTCAATATACAAACTTTATATAGCAAAGCCAAATATTGGAATATATATAAATATATCAAACACTATATATAGCAAGCAGTACGCCATAGAAGGAAGGTGACAAAAGGGAAGACTGAAAAATAAATCCAATCCGAAGATTATTTAGAATAAAAACCAATATATTGCTTAAGATTTCAGTCGGACATTGACAACATACATCTAGAAAGCCAAAGGGATTTAATTAATTCTATCCATATGCATGTATTCAAATGACTCCGTCAACATAATCTAATGACCTTTACCAGAAAAAAAGGCCAGTTGTATAAATGCGCGGGCGCGCGCACACACACACACACATATATATACACGTAGCAGAACGTATATTTGAGGATTCAAATGGGAGTTAAGAGACATTAATCAATTCCTCTAGATCTATCTCAACCCATATATTACAATGTTGATCTTGCTTAAACTTTTGTTTCAGTTGGTTTCATTGCTTTCTCTAATCTCCTCAACCATTGTGTCTGCAAAACCATATAATATACCAAGTCTCGGTCTTTCCGGAGGAATTTTCCTGAAAGGAGGTGGAACGAAGACAACAAAAGCAGCAGCACAAACAAATGCAGAAACCCCAAAAAACGACTATGAGATATTTTTCTACAATCAAACACTTGATCACTTTAGTTATACCCCTGAAAGTTATACCACTTTTCAACAAAGATATGTGATTAATTCCAAACACTGGGGCGGTGCCAAGGAAAACGCGCCAATCTTCGTTTACCTTGGTGCTGAGGACTCGTTATTTGATGGTGATGTTGCTGATATGAGTGGTGGGCTTCTAACTGAAAATGCCCCTCGTTTTAAAGCTCTCTTAGTCTATATAGAGGTATAGTACCTAATCCAACACCTCTAGCTAGCTTTATATATATATATATATATATATATATATATATATATATGTCATTGTTTTAGCATTAAGTTAAACTACATGCATGTTTAATTTGTTTGCTCATGTATCAGCATCGGTTCTACGGAAAATCAGTTCCATTCGTATCATTTCAAAATGCGATAAAAAATGCTACTCTTCGCGGGTATTTCAATTCGGCTCAAGCAATAGCAGATTATGCATCTGTAATCACATACCTCAAGGAGAAATTTTCTGCTCACTACTCTCCCGTTATTGTAATAGGAGGATCCTATGGAGGAAGTAAGCAAGCTAGCAAATATGTGTAATATTAATTAACCATTAATATATTTCCCAATCATATAGATATATATACACACACACACACACATCATCATCATCATCTAATTATTTCCCATACTATACTTGAAAATTTTCAGTGCTTGCGACATGGTTTCGATTAAAGTATCCCCACATCGCCCTCGGAGCTCTAGCCTCATCGGCACCTGTTCTTTTTTTCCATGGCGCCCTCCCATATAATGAGTATTATGCTGTTGTTTCAAAGGATTTCAAGGTACAAGTTAATTAAATAAATAAATTTAATTTCACTATATATTGTGTTTTTTCTTCCTTTCAAGCTAAATTAATTTGAGCCTATGGAATGGTATAATGAAGTAACTATATATGTACTATTGTTGCAGCAAGCTAGCAAGAGTTGCTTTCATACTATAAAAAACTCATGGTCAGAAATAAATAAAGTTGCTTCTCAGCCAAATGGTCTTTCAATCCTTAGTCAGAGATTCAAGACTTGCTCGTAATTAATTATATACCATATTCATTCTCTATCCACTAATTAGTTTTATAATAAATTTTTCTTAACAAAAATGAATAATTTTCAAATTGGTTCAGCCCCATAAATGGATCGGAGGAGCTCAAGGACTTCATATCAGGCATCTTCATGGATGCAGCCCAGTATAATTCTCCACCAAAATATCCTGTAACTATGATCTGTCGTGCCATTGATAGAGCATCTAATACAACCGATATTCTTGGTCGGATATTTGCTGGTGTCGTTGCCACTAACAAGACTAAAGAATGCTTTGATACGAGGCAAAACCTGACTTCTGGTACCGAATCAGATGGGTATGCTTGGCAAGTAAGTTGCATATATACACACACAGAAACACACACACACATATATATATATAGTTAATTGTCAATAATGATATGGTGTATTATCATCGTAGATTTGCTTTAAAAATCACAGATGCTCATTATTCAACTTATTATAATGCATGTAGCAGTTAGAGAATCCTAATCCTTCAAATTTGACATACGAATTTGTTTTATAGAAGAGAAATTATAAAGACCACTATTGTTAATTTGTTATTGGTGATATATTGTGATGAATATTATGGTTTTTTTTTTTCTTTTCCGGGTAAACTTTTAGGAGACAAATAGGAAAAGGGGAGAAAATCACAAAAGATAAAGGGATTTTCTCCATCTGAGAATGTCTCTCTCTATACCATTACTCGGTAAATATTATGTGTGTGTATATATAATATACGTGATCAAAGTGGAGTCTCTCTATTTTTTTTTTTTTAAAAAAAAAAAAAAAAAAAGGAATGAGAATTTTCATGCATAAAATTGCTTTTGGAAAATTATAGAAGAATGTTATCCGAAACAATCAACAAAATAATTTCTTATATCCTATATTTATTTATGTTCTAAAAATTGAATCAAATAGAGCTTAAAATTTTCTTCATTGGAATTTAGTTGTTGGTTGGTGTACTTAGAGATGCAGTGAGTTAGTTGGGCCCTTTGGAGAAAGGGGAGACACTATGTTGGAACGTGATAATTCGACTTTAAGTAACTTCACCAATGGTTGCATCAACTCCTATGGCGTCCCACCAAGACCTCATTGGATCACAACCTATTTTGGAGGCAAAGTATGTACTTCTGATTTTATTTTATTTTATTTTTGTCAATTAATTATATTTCAAAGTTCTTCCCATAACTGTTATAATCATTTTACTCTTATATACTAATTAATTACTTTTAGAGGTTTACCATGTGCTTTTCAATGGCTCATTGTAGGATATTGGATTGGTTCTCCGAAGGTTTGGTAGCAACATCATTTTCTCCAATGGACTAAAAGATCCTTATAGTGCTAGCGGGTAATTGAAAAGGACATTTTTTCTTTTTCAATCCTTGTAAATAGATAAAATTAATTCACGTATCCTAGTCTAGTTGATCTAATATGCTTATTTTATTATCTTATTACAGGGTGTTGAAGGACATCTCAGACACTATTCTTGCCATTCATACAGTTAATGGTAGGTGGACCCTGTCAATCTGGCCAAACAAATTATATATAAACCCCTCTAAATCAGTTTACAATTTATATGCACTGCACAAAATTAAGACAGTAGATGATATGCATCTATGTGTGTAAGTATATATACATATATATATATATAGTTGATGCTAGTTAATATGTGACACTGATAAGTTAACCAACTGCTCTAAAAAAAAACTTTTACATACAGAGAAACTGAAAATATATATATATATATATATAAATAACCCCTTATACTATTCCAAAAATATGTTAGTACTCTCGCCATTACAATCGTGACAATAAAATGACAGTTTTGGACTTGAAATCTTTATAATTCCTTTCTTTATATATTAATCAAAATGACCTAGGATTATAATTAGATCCATGAATAGCCAACGTAAGGTAGCTGTTATGTATACAACCCCCTTTTTTTTTTGTGTGTCATAAAGTGTTTCATTGGCATTATACAACCAATGTTATTCTTAGATTACGTTTCCTTAGGGGTGAAATGGTAAATTAAAAGAAAATGAACAACACATTAGGGACAATAAGTTACAATTTTAAAATTGTTGAGGGGTTCGCGGCTTTACCAGGGATATTTTCAACACGGTGAGGTTATGTTCGGTTGCAAGAAATTGAAAATTTAGGGAAAAATTTTTTTTTGGTGGAATTAGAGACAAGCAACTCAAAATATTGAACAAAAAAATTCTCCACTTTCACCAATTTCAATTCCAATGCTCTAATTACATGCAACCGAATACACCTTAAAAGTTACTAGTTAATAAAAAATATTGTTTTGTAGTTAACCTTAGAATATATTGATATATATGTGTATAAGTATTTACCCAATTTACTCCTAGATTAAAATAACATTGATGTTTCAAGAGATTTACTATATCTACTTTAATTTGCAGGATCTCATTGTTTAGACATAGTGGGAGCATCGCCAAATGATCCAATTTGGTTGGTCGAGCAACGAAAGAGAGAGTTAGATGTCATTGAAGGATGGATCAAAACCTACTATGCTGATCTTTCATCCTTCAAGAAAACAAAATAATTGTTGAGCATTTTAGTATTAATAGGGATGTACTCGAAGTCACCCTAGAAAATTAAACATGGGCGATGTACTGCAAAATGATTTACTGTATATATGGAAATAATTTTCATTACTGCAAAATGATTTACTGGAAACAATTTTCATTCCAAAGTTGTTAATTACAAGGTTTAAGATACTATTCCTCATAGCCCCCAGCACTATGGGGAGCACGGGGATACCATTGTTCATCAAGGGCAACCCCAGCCAGGGGGAGATTGTCTAAAGTTAGGCAAAAATACTTCTTATTTTTAACAAACACACTAAATATTTTGGAATATATTGTGATAGAGGTTACTCAACCTGCTCACCAAAAGTGTTTAACATTTTTTTTTTTTTTTTTTTCTGAGTAATACAATTACCATTTGACTAGATAATCGCCATGATCAAAAACATCTTATCAAATTTGAGAAATAATATAATAAATATTAGGATAATTTGTGCTTACACTCCTCCAAGTTTGTAATAAGAACAGGTAGATACAACTTGGGGAGAATGTCATCCAATTGCTTCATTAAGTCTGCAAACTTGAACAACAACACCCCAACCATGATAACAATACCTAATTACCCTTTAACTTCTGAATTGACCCATTTAAATTATTAAATTACAATATTAATCTTTATAGGTCCTTTTATTTGACCAAAATGACCCTTAGCAAAAAATAAAAAAATAAAAAAAAATATCAAATTCCACTACTGTGGCTACCAATGCCATTTGCATACCGACAGGGGCGGACCCAAGAATTTTTAATTGGTGGGGCCAAACTAGAATTGTAAAATTAAAATTTTAAAATAACATAAAATCATTATAAGAAATTTTTTTGTGCAAGTTTAATGTATATTGTTAAAATGTGCGTATAAATAATATGCAATAAAATTGAAGAGAACATTGCACGAACTCTTAGGGCCCCTTAACAACCCGACTAATTCCCGAGGACTTGGAAGGGCGCCTCCCCAATCGGGTTTAGTAAGTCACTGCAAGGCAGCAGAGACTACCAACAAAGAACACCTGGCGGGACTCGAACCCTAGACTTTGGCTTCCTAAGCTCCAAAATTCAGCGAGTAAACCGCTAAGCCATATCCGAAGTGGATCAATTGAATCATTGTTGTTGTCAACTGAATAATTTTTTTTTTTCTTTCTAATTCATAAAAAATAATATTTATGTATGTGTGAATATATGTGTACGTAAATCTAGTATGTTGTTATAAGGATTACCATAATAATTAGTATTTTTTTTTTTTTTTTTTACTAAATTTGATCTTTTACAGCAAGAGGTTTATTGGAATTTTAAGAGGTTACAAGTAATTTCATTATTAAACTATATTTAATATCAAGGAACAATATAGAATTTAAAAATATATATATAGAGAGAGATCAACTTTAATTTTACATAGAAAACAACTATTAATATCTATGATTTAGTACCATAAATAGAGTGTTACAAAAAAAATTAGGGGGCCAACTTTAATTTTTATGTAAAACATTATCATAAATAATTAAAACATTATCATAAATAATTAAAATTTAATACTATAATAAGGTTTTGCGAAAAAAATTGCGAGGGCCATGGTGGAGTTTTTTTTTTTTTTTTTTTTTTGTCAAATTTTGATCAAATCAAAGGACTTGTAAAAGATTAATATTGTACTTTAATGATTTAAATGAGTCAATTCAAAAGTCAAAAACAATTACATACTCTTATCATGATTTGAGTGGTGTTGTTCAAATTTACAAATTGGGGGGTAATTGGATCATACTATTCCTAAATTATATCTACTTATTTTTATTACAAATCTCAAGAAACACCTCAAGAAGTGTGAGTGCAAATTACCCTAAATATTAAAATGATGAAGCAATAGTTGGATACCTTTTTTAAAATGATAAGACTTGGCCTATAAAAGAATTGATAGTTGATGTCGAAGCTCGCGATTCCATCCACGCACGCATGTCAGCTGTCGTGCCAAATTGTGAACCTAAATACGATGAAGGGCTAAAAGATAATTATCAATGAATAAAGCCGATGTCTTGTGTATTTGGAGTTAGGAATCTAGAGAGCGGATAAAATCAGCTGATCCGGAGGTTAGATTATGAATGGAAAGATGTTAGGAACCCATAAACTTTTTGCCAAATATAGATACTTATTTTACCTTTCATATTGCTTGTGACTTCTACAGATGTTAAACCAAATCAACATCCGAAGAGATCTAAGGCTTTAATAGGCTTGGGTGGTAACCATCGATCTGAATGATACAACCGAACCCAAGACCCCCGGGTTGTCCAAGTTTCATAGTCATATACATGGATGTCATGGTGGGAATCAGATTGACCATATCTCAATTACGGTGAAATAAAGGCCCAAGGATGAATGGACATACGAGCAAGGGCGGATACAGCATTTTTGAATGGGGTCGGCTAATTTTGGATTGGGCTAATTTGGGATGGGCAATCATTACTATTTTTTTATCTATTTATTTATTTATTTTTTTTTGGCTGGACTTAAAAAATAAAAAATAAAAAAATAAAATAAAATATGGGGTGGGTTGAAGCCCACCTTCGCCCACCCTTGGATCCGCCTATGCATACGAGTTTTAAGAGATGTCAACATAAGTGTTGGATTTTTTTGTCGTGCTGGAAACTTGTCAATGTGACGATCACAGCAGTGCCATAGCCAAAATGGAAAAAACGGCCAATTTTACGGGTCGTTAGGTTTCTTAAATTTTAAATGTGGTCGAGGTGGAAGGTGTGATATACGAGAAACTATTCGTTGCAACCGTTGCCACAACGACGTGGTGCAACATACGGCTATCAATATTCTATCAAAGCAAAGTAGACTTACAATAGAATCAAAAGGCTGATATATGTACAGGGACGGATCTAAGAATTCATATGAGGGGGGGCAAATTTATATAGAGTGTTTTTTATAATTTTAGTGAGGGCAATTTCAAAATTTTATGTGTATAAATGTAAAAAAGTATAAATTTAGGAGTGTAAAATGCAATAATAAAAAATTTACTTGTTAACGGATCGGATCTGAATGCAATAAGCATTTTATATTATCCGATCCGATCTGATAATCCGACAGATTATTTATAGGTGAATCCATATCCGATTTGTTTATAAACGGATATCCGATCCGATACGCAAAAAGTGTAAATTTTTTATAAAAAAAAAAAAGAAAAAAATTAATATCAAAAGAGAATTAAAAACAATTATTAGAAAAAAAATAATGGAAAACAAAAGATAAATAAAATATGAAAGGAAAAGAAAATATATATCTCATTTACTCTTTGTTAGTGAATAAATATTATGACATTCTTAATATGTATATTAGAAGATTTATTAGCAGGCACGGACCCAACATAGGACCAATGGGGGCATTGATGCCCCCACTGGATTTTTTATATTTTCATTTTATATCTCAAATTTTTTAATATTTATGAAGATGCCCCAATAAAATTATAATTCGCCCCACAGGATTCTTTTTTTTTTTTTTTTTTTTTTTGTATTTTATACTTCAATTTTTTAAAAAATTATAATTCACCCCACAGAAATTATTATTATTATTATTTGCATCTTATACGTTAAATTTTTGAAAATTTATGAAAAAAAACCCATTAAAATTATAAAAATAGATGCACTATATAAGTTTGCCTCCACAAATTAAAAGACTGCCCCCCTTTCACAAAATTTTTTGGGTTCGTTACTATTTATTAGTATGTGGGTGAAAACACCACACTATTATACATATATATTTTAATTATTATTTTTTTTGTTTTTCGGTTACATCTAATATAAATCTGATAGGAGTATTGTATTGTATAATTTATAATATAAAATATTATTATATATATTTAATCAAATCGGATTATTATCAGATCGAATCAGCATAAATCCATATTCGATTTGTTATGAAATCAGATTATCGGATTCGGATCGTAATCGAGTTATTGGGTTTTTTGTTTAATTCATATCCGAGTAGTCGGATCGAATTCGGGCTAGAATCCGATCCATTGACAGGTCTAGATATATGTGCTTTGATGGAGTGTTTGTAGTCGTCCATTGCACCACGTTATCATTGCAACGAATAATTTCTCGTGATGTAGAATAATGGGTAGGGCGTGAGCCAATGTGTTCGAATTCATCAACTAACATTAAGTTTCAGTGTGTTAGATCACCTAAGGAACTCTAATGAGTAAAACGGGAAGGAGTGTAATGTATGATTCTCTACTAGTCAGTGTGAATCAAATAAATGGATCCGGGGTTCGATTACGCTTGGAGAAGGTGTTAAGCACTTAGGCCAGCCCTAGGCATAGGCGACCTAGGCGGTTACCTAAGGCCTCAAATTTAGGATTATTAATATAGGAGTATATATATACCTGTTTCCCATAATCCCACATAACTAGTAACCAATTAAAAGCTAGACACATATCTATTTCAGGTCATAATTAAAAGTCAAACTTATAATATCAATATATATATATATATCGGTAATACAATAATTTGTTTATGTTCCTTCCTTCAAAAGAAAAAAGAATTTTTTATATTTAAACTTAGAAACTAGTTTATTTTATTATTATATTACTATGGGCTCATCTGCATGCATGGCAGGATCTGTTAAGCCCAGTTCAAACAACCAAAATTTTAATTCATGGGTGTAATCAACTATCACAAATTTTCTAAAACAACCTTGAATATCTCCTAAAACCTGATATGGTTTCTGATATTGATGGGATAAAATTATTTTCAGAAACCCAAGAGAATCTTTACCAAGAGGAACAAAAAAGGCAATTAAAGTATTAAATTTAATAAAATGCCAGTTTATTATTTTGCCAAATGCTTAGATTGCATAATAGAGCTAAGTCACATAATTTGCTCAAACCACTTGCGCTCTATCGCTCCGCGCGCGAATTGGTGTTTTGAAAGTGAATTCGCCAAAAATTCACGCTCTCATGTTTTTGAATTCG